TCCAGTTCTTCCTGCTTATTACCCATACTTCTCGCATTTGTATATAGGCATCTAAGATACTGGTTTGATCTTTCCTCCCGGTTTTGTCCTGACCCTCCTTTCTCTCTGCCAATATAGCCCACACTCCCTCTCCTCTCCGACCCATCTCCCAGGTCTCCATGTTCCCCACTTACCTGCGGGCTTTGCTCACCTGTCCCCGTCGAACCTAGTTTAAAGCCCTCCTCACTAGGTTAGCCAGTCTGTGTCCAAATAGGGTCTTTCCCCTCCTCGAAAGGTGAACACCATCTCTGCCTAGCAGTCCTTCCTCAAATAGCATCCCGTGGTCTAGGAAGCCAAAGCCCTCCTGGCGACACCATCTTCGCAGCCAGGCATTCACCTCCATGATGCATCTGTCTCTGCCCGGGCCCCTACCTTTGACAGGAAGAATCGAAGAGAATACCACCTGCGCTCCAAACTCCTTCACCCGTACTCCCAGAGCCCTGTAGTCACTCTTGATCCGCTCAGTGTCACACTGCGCAGTATCATTTGTGCCCACATGGATGAGTAGCATGGGGTAGTAGTCAGAGGGCTGGATAATCCTCGACAATGCCTCCGTAACGTCTCGGATACGGGCTCCCGGCAGGCAGCATACCTCCCGAGATGAAATGTCAGGGCGACAGATGGGCGCCTCCGTCCCCCTCAGCAGAGAGTCTCCGACCACCACTACCCTACGTTTCCTATTCGCAGTGGTGGCAGCAGACCTCCCAGCCTTAGGGGTACGAGGCTTGTCCTTGACTTTTAAATGGGTTCTTTGCTCATTAAGTCATGGGATCTACCCCTCTGCGCTGGATCTCCCAGTCTCGGTTAGCAAGGCCATGCCATTTTCAGCACTCTTGTGGCAGAGACCGGGCAGGGGTGCTGGGCAAGGGGAGTGGAAGTTTGGCAGTGTAAGTAATGTGTTATGGCGTGTCTCAGTAAATGGAGCACTTGTCCGGCCCCAGCATGAATGAGGGTCTTGTCTGGGCTCACTCTGAGCGCTAAACCTGCTTTTAGGAATGTAAGTGCCTATAGTGCCAGATTCATTGGATCTGCTGCGTGGCAAGAGGCTGATGCTCAGGCTTTGTCTGTTGATAGTGCTCCTGCTCTCTAGCTTCTGACTTGTAGACCCGTTTCAGCTCTCACGGAGCTTAGCTCTCAGAAGCAGCTCCATTGTCCAATGCCAGGGTGAGGAGACTTAAGCAGAGCTGCCCTGCTCTCTGGTGCTAGCTAGTGGTGCCTTTCTAAATTTCAATTCATTTTGAAAACCATCTCAAAGTGGGCTTGAAATGGTTTGTCAAAATTGATTTCTCCAGGGAGCTAAACAAGTAATGACATGAAATTCCATTCCTTGGTGGAAGATGCTGTGATACACCATCAGCTGCATCTTCACTGCATGTTCGGTCAGATTGCCTCATTCAGGGCAGCTCTAAATTTGAACCAATGCTATTTACACACAGCATAGGGAGCTGTGAGTGATGATTGATGTGCTGCTGAAAGGCCAGCTATTCAGAGGTCTGGGGATCAGTGTGTATGGGGTGGGGAGAGATGGGGTTGTCTCTTTGAGATCCATGGCTGCAGTGTTTCTGGATTAGCCTTCATGGCACAAAGAGAGGGAGGAGCAGGGTCCCATTCCCCAAACAATTTAAATCCACTTTGCTCTCATTGCTAAGTTTACTTAACTGTTCTGGATTGTTTTGTTGTTGTCCCAACTGAGGACTCCTCCTTCCAGTCAATGCCCTTTGTTCCAGAGCTCCTGCTGGCCAAAGAAATTCATAGATTCATAGAGTGTAAATCCAGACGGGACCATTAGCTCACCTACTCTGACCTCCTGTAAATCACAGGCCATAAATTTCACAGTTTCCCCTGCACTGAGCCCAATAACTTGTGTTTAAGTAAAGCACATCTTCCAGAACGGCATGCAGTCTTGATTTGAAGATACCAAGAGATGGAGAATCCACCACTTCCCTTGGGAGTTTGGTCCAGTGTTTAATCGCCCTCACCTAAAAATGTGTGCCTTAGTTCCAGTTTGAATTTGTCAGCCCTCTGCTTCCAGCCATTGGTTCTTGTTATGCCTTTCTTTGCTAGATTAAAGAGCTCGTTAATACTCAGTATTTTCTCCTCATGAAGGTTCTTATCCACTGTAATCCAGTGACCTCACAATCATCTTGCTGGCAAGCTAAACAAATTGATCTCCTTAAATCCCTCACTGTCAGGCATTTTTCTCCAGCCCTTGAGTCATTTATGTGGCTCTTCTCTGCATCATCTCCAATTTTCAAACAACTTTTTAAAATGTGGCCGCCAGCTCTGGAGTCACCATTCCAGTGTCAGTCTCACCCAGGCTGTATGCAAAGGTAAAATCGCCTACCTATTGCTATTCATTGCTTCGCTGTTTACGCATTAGCCTTTTTTGACACAGCATCACACCGGGAGCTGGTGTTGAATTGCTTGTCCGCCATGACCCCTGGATTGTTTGTGGCATTGCTGCATTCCAGAATACAGCCCTGCATTCTGTAGGTCTGGTCTGCAGTCCTTCTTCCTACATGTATGACTTTGCATTTGGCTGTATTCAAACACATTTTGTTGGAATGGGCCCAGTTTACCAACCAATCCAGTACTGGTTAAGATGCCCCTTCAGAGCTTAGCACCATGGGGACCTGATCAGGGGTGCTGGAAATGGGTGGGCCAAGGGGCCATGGCCTCCCACTTTATACCGGCTGCAAGGGCAAGTGATGGGAAGGGGGGGGGGAGAGGAGCGAGCGGGGGATGGGGTTTTGGGGGGAAGAGGCGGTGTGAGGGCAGGGTTTTGGGGGAAGAGGTGGCGCAAGGGCAGGGGCTTGGGGAGAAGGGTGGGGCCTAGGGCGGTAGGGCCATGGTTCGGGGGCCTGTGGGCCTCCCCCCCCCCCTTAGGGCACTTCCGCCACTCCTGGACCTGATCCTAACTGGGATCTTTGGGTCCCAGGGTCTCTATTGATATTTAGCTGCTTCAGCTCCTCCCAGCCCCCGTCCTGATGCCACTCCATCCCCTGCAACAGCAACGGAGCTGCTGGGTACCCCTCTGTGTGGGTTAATAGTGTTGGTTGACAATTAAAACCCTTGACCCAACTAGGATGGAAGTGAAGATGCAAAGGCTGAGGCAGGAAGCCTTGCTGGAAGAAAGGCTTTAGTCAAACACAGGTGATTGGGGTCACTGCAGGAGTGCTGGGATGGAATTCTCTGGCCTGTGATAGACAGGAGGTCAGAGTAGCTAAATTAACTATCCCTTCTGGCCCTAAAATCAATTCCATGAGGCATGTCGGCTCTTTCATGAATGAAACATGTTCTTTGTACACACAATACACTTTACAGAACACCCGATGCGGGGAGCATTATTTCCAAAACTAAAGAGATTTTTACCCACAGCCCCTCAGGATCCTATTAGATACACCATTTAAAAACAAACCAGCCTGAATGTTTGAACAGTAAAAGCTGAATTGCACTGTCCCTACCACCTTTAGAGGGGCATTAGAGAACCGGCTTCACACTTTCCCCCAACTCAGCCTCTCCCACTGTTCTTTTTGAGGTTCCCACTCTTCTCCATGTGACAAAACCATCACACATGCTAATGAAATTGACATGGCGTGCTTGAGTGGAATAGCAAGGCGGGGCTGCAGGGCAGGGATAAGGGGCATTGGCAGAGCTGCATAGGGAAGGCCAGACTGGAACAGCAAGGGGCTACAGGTCAGATTTGGCCCAATTCTCCCATTAATTTTTGAAGTTCAAATGCTGATTATAAATCACCAAAACCAAATGATGTTTGTTGAGCTGAGCTCTAGATGGAAGCGGATCTTGGTGTTTAGTTGTAGGATGCAGGGAGAGTTGCAGATAATGTTCCTGACAGTAAATAAACCTGTACAAACTAAAACAAGCCCTAGAGTCATTTACTGCCAAATACTGTAGCTGTGAAGCTGGATTCTTGCTGGCTCTGCAGAACTGTCTCAAGCCCTAATGAGCATATTGGAGCAGCCACACAGCTCAGGTGTTAACATTCAATATATGGGAAATGGACCCGGAAGCGCAAAGCGGGAATGGATGGGCAGCTTCTGCTTTGAATTCCAGTCACCACACCTCTTTCCCTAGTATGTACACACACTTCCCCTAGGTGGCAGTAGAGGACAGTTAGATGTAGGCAAGCCGGCCTGGAAAGTTGCCCATAGCTTCTGTTAATCACAGATTCCCACCAATACATTTTGTTTAATCGTTTATGGGAAACATTTGTTTATGGTCAGTATTGGGACCTAGAGACCCAGTGATGGACACAGCATCTTTGCATGTGTTGTGATGTGACAAAGCAGGCTGGACATAGATTTATGGGTGCTGAGATGGGACTTCTAGTACCCTAATCTCACAAGCAAGATAAAGGAAACCAAATCCACCACACTGGACCCGACTAGATCAGTATCCTGGCTCAGGAAGGTGAGCAATACCCATAATGCAGCTGGCCAACAGTACAGTGCTCCATGTAGGGGAAAAGTTCTCCTGCCTCCCACTGATGGGCTTACGCTCTGACTCATGAACTCTCATCACCATCTTAGCTGGAGATGTGTCACAAATGTGTCATGAAGGGGCATAAAGCCACCCTTTGTTTAAATCTAGCCACAAAATTTGACTCCATGGTGCTTTTCAGCCAGATGGAGGTTTTCCCCAAGGTTCATAAGAATCCCTCTTTTAACGTAAAGAACTGGTTAAGAGTTTCAAAGCCAGCTAGGGTCAGAGCTAGGGGCTTTAGACAAGGGGAGCTGTGTATCTAAATCCTCTAGACGGCTACAAAAGTTTGTTTGCGCTGTTGGACTTCTCCCCTTATTTACTCACGGTGAGGTACGTTTCTTGCCATGGGGTCTTTCAAAAACCTGCTTTGAACTCAATGGGATGTCTGTGACAGGAGGCAGAGGCCCCATCTGATCACTGGCAGACAAGGGGTTAATTCCTGTCTCTGATTGCCACAGGTGCACAGACAAGATGGAGTCAGGAGGCTGATGGCAGAACCAGGAAAAGAACCAAGATCTCCTGACCCCTAGCGTGATGCTCTCGCCACTGGCCCATGCAGAGAAAAAGAACTGCCCCCTTTCCTTGCAGATGGTATGTACCCTGAATCAGCACCCTCTGTTCCAAGAGCTTGTCAGCGCAAAGGATAGATCTGTGACTAATGGTTTTGGAGAATTTCTCTTTGGCTGTTCTGTGCAGATGGCTATGACACTGACACTATCAATCCTGTTGGAACTGCTGACCTCTACCACGGCATCGATAGCGAATGTTAATGGGGCTTCTCTTGTCACTAACCAGCTAAACATGGATGGAGCTTCGTGATTTAGTGCAATTGCTCTAGGGTCTAGTCTGGGTTCTCAGTGTTTCATTGTTATTTAAAACACAAAATTGCACAAGTGCGCTCCAATTCACTGGATGACTAGACTGCTCAATAATGACCCAGCCACAAATCCACATGGACCTTCAGCCTTCAATCCCTTACCTTCACCTCTGCCCCAAATGCCTCTGAGAAAGGGATTTTGCAGCCTGCCCAAAACATGAACACATTGAGGCCCCACCGTTTGCTTATAGTTTTCTTTTACACCACATGCTCTGACACACCACACTCAGCACTGTGGCATCAACACTAGAGAGAGAGATGAGCTTCAAATTATACCATCAGGACAGCTAGCCAGCCAGGAGAGTCGGAGATATGGCATTCTTCCACATGGGATCTTCCCCACACCTCACTCCCAGAGCTGATAGGGGCTGGGAGCATGGGTGTAGATTCTCAGGGCTGCACTGACAGGCTCCGGAGAGAGGTCTCTGTGATGCTAGCTCCAAAGAATGGCTGTGATTGCTGTGTACCTCAAGGGGAACTGAGCCAAGCTCTTTGCTTTCATTGCCATCTTTCAGGTGCTCTGGTTCTGGCTTTGATTCTTGGATTTTTCAGGCTTACCTGTGGGTGTGACTGAGCTGTTCATTTCCCTGTGAGGTGGTTGGCAGTTGCTAGCAGTTTAATCCTGCCTCCTCTCTGTAATCAGTTGGGTTAGAGGAGCTATAATCCAGATGCATTTGCTAGTATTTAAGAGCACCTCTCATAGTTACGGCAACCAGCAAGTGGTAGGATCCTGGCAATGGACAGGCTGGCAGGCAGCCCGGGTTTGGGAGGTTGTGATGGGGTGTCTAGTTAAAAAGGGCCAATTAGCCCCATGAGAGGCTGCACCTGGGGGAGAGGCAGGGCTGCTAAGGCCTAATGGCTGATGAAGCCCAGCGAGGAGAAGCTGGGCTAGGCAGGAAGTTGGTGGTAAGAGGGGACTGTGGGAGGAGCTCTGCAGTTACTCCCTAGAGGTGGGAGTTGGCAAGAGACAAGGAGGACTAGGGGGAGAATAAGGCCTGGGATCCTGCCTTGACCTACAGACTCTAACAAGAGCCCAAGAAGGGTGAAACAGCCACAGGGAGCAGCAGAAGCTCCACTGCTAACACAAAGAGGGGCCAAAGCTAGAGACAAAAGGTAGGGAGCAGCGCAGTGGGGTCTGGGATTGCATAGACTGCGGACGCTAGTCATAGGGTCCCTGGGCTGGAACCTGGAGTAGTGGGCAGGCCTGCGTTCCCCTACCACCCACTGGGGGAGGGGCACAATCTGGACAATGGATTGGAAGACAGCCTGAGACAGTCCAGAGAGTCTGAAACCCTGGAAGGGGAAAAAAGACGGTTACTCACCTTTGTAACTGTTGTTCTTGGAGATGTGTTGCTCATATCCATTCCAATTAGGTGTGCATGCACTGCGTGCACGGCCGTCGGAGAATTTTTACCCTAGCAACACCCGATGGGTTGGCTGTGGAGCCCCCTGGAGTGGTGCCTTCATGGCACTGGATATATACCCCAGCCAACCCAGCGCCCCCTCAGTTCCTTCTTGCCGGCTACTCCAACAGAGGGAAAGGAGGGTGGGTTTGGAATGGATATGAGCAACACATCTCGAAGCACAACAGTTACAAAGGTGAGTAACCATCTTTTCTTCTTTGAGTGCTTGCTCATATCGATTCCAATTAGGTGATTCCCAAGCCTTACCTAGACGGTGGGATCGGAGTGAAGTACCGTGGATTGAAGAACTGCTCTACCAAACGCCGCATTGTCTCTGGCTTGCTGGACAATGGCATAGTGTGAGGCAAAAGTATGTACTGAAGACCAAGTAGTGGCTCTGCAGATCTCCTGGATTGGCACGTGGGTCAGGAAGGCCACCAATGAGGCCTGAGCTCTTGTGGAGTGAGCGGTAAGAGGCAGGGTTGGAACACCAGATCATAACAAGCACGGATACAGGACGTGATCCAAGAAGAGATCCACTGAGTGGAGACTGGGAGACCCTTCATCCGGTCCGCCACCACGACGAAGAGCTGGGTCGTCTTCTGGAACAGCTTCGTACACTCAGTGTAGAAGGCAAGGGCCCTACGAACATCGAGGGAGTGTGGCCACTGCTGCTGATGTCTGGCGTGCGGTTTTGGGTAAAAAAACGGGAGGAAAATGTCTTGGTTGATATGGAAGGTCAATACCACCTTGGGAAGAAAGGCAGGGTGAGGTCGTAGCTGCACCTTATCCTTAGGGAAGATCATGTAGGGTGGTTCTGAGGTAAGAGCCTTGAGTTCGGAGACATGCCTCGCTGACGTGATAGCAATGAGGAAAGCCATTTTCCAAGAGAGGTATAGGAGGGAACAGGTGTCCAACAGTTCGAATGGAGGCCCCATAAGTCTGGAGAGGACCAGGTTCAGGTCCCACGTGGGGACTGGCTGTCGTACCTGTGGGTATAGACGGTCCAGGCCCTTAAGGAACCTACTGACCATGGGGTTGGCAAAGACAGAGCGGCCATTTGCTCCTGAGTGGAAGGCTGAGATGGCCGCCAGGTGAACTCTGATGGAAAATATCGCCAGGCCCTGCTGTTTCAGGCTCAGGAGATAGTCCAGAATAAGAGACACGGATGCTTGGAGGGGGGGCGTGCCACGGTGAGTGCACCAGCATGAGAATCGCTTCCACTTAGCCATATATGTGGCCCGAGTGGAAGGTTTCCTGCTGCCCAATAGAACCTGTTGCACCAAATGAGAACAGAGGAGTTCTGAGTGGCTCAGCCATGCAGCATCCACGCCGTGAGGTGGAGGGACCGTAGGTCGAGGTGACATAGGTGGCCGTGATCCTGAGTGATCAGGTCTGAAAAAAGGGGCAGCAGGTCTGGGGCATCCATACAGATCTCCAACAGCGTGGTGTACCAATGCTGCCTGGGCCATGCTGCGGCGACCAGGATCAGACATGTCTTGTCCCCGTGCACCTTGAGCAGGACCTTGTGTACGAGTGGAAACGGCGGAAAGGCATAGAACGATCGGTTTGTCCACGGGAGTAGGAAGGCGTCTGTGAGAGAGCCCGGGGAACGACCTGGGAGGAAGCAAAATGCCAGGCATTTCCGGTTGTTGCGCGAGGCAAACAGGTTGACCTGGGGAAACCCCCACTTATGCAGCCGCTCCTCAAAGACTTGACAAGCCAGATGTACCGCCATCAGTTCCCGTACGTTGATGTGGAGAGAGAGTTCGGATGGGGCCCATAGACCCTGTGTCTGGATGTCCCCGAGACGGGCACCCCATCCCAGGGATGACGTGTCTGTAACGAGGGACAAGGAGGGCTGAGAGATGTGGAAGGGGCCTCCTTCGCATACCGCCCCTGGGTCTAGCCACCAGTGGAGGGAAGTCAGGACTTCTCTGGGACGGTGACCACCAGATTCATGCTGTCTTGACCTGGGCGATAGACAGATGCCAGCCAGGCTTGAAGCGGGTGGAGCCTTAGTCTGGCGTGCTTGGTCACGTATGTGCAAGAAGCCATGTGTCCTAGAAGACTCAAGCACGTTCTTGCCCTCGAGGTTGGGAAGCTTTGAAGGCTCTGGATGAGGCCCAACAAAGCTTGGAAATGAGTGTCCGGCACGCACGGAGTCCAGGACCGCCCCGATGAATTCTATTCTCTGGGTCGGTTCTAGCGTCGACTTCGCCACGTTGAGAAGGAGGCCTAAATGACCAAACGTGCCCGTGACCAACTGAATGTGGGACTGCACCTGCTCCTTGGTGCGCCCTTGGATGAGCCAGTCGTCGAGATATGGATATACCTGTATTTGTCGACGATGGAGGAAGGCTGCCACTACTGCCATACATTTGGTGAATACCCGGGGGGCCGTAAAGAGGCCGAATGGAAGAACCGTAAACTGATAGTGTTCACGGTTGACCACAAAGCGGAGGAAGCGTCTGTGTGCTGGATGGATCGCTATGTGGAAATATGCATCCTTCATGTCGAGGGTGGTGTACCAGTCTCCAGGATCCAGGGAAGGTATAATGGTGCCCAAGGAGACCATGCGGAACCTCAACTTTACCATGAATTTGTTGAGTCCGCGCAGGTCGAGGATAGGCCAAAGCCCACCCTTTGCCTTGGGAATTAGGAAGTAACAGGAATAAAACCCCCTGCCCCTTAGCTCCCTTGGAACCTCCTTGATCGCCCCTGTCAAGGCTGTATCCCCACTTTGAACTTTAGGGTACAAATGTAGGGGCCTGCATGAAAACTTCTAAGCTTAACTACCAGCTTAGCTCTGGTCCCGCTGCCACCATTCTCAATGGATTCCCTCCCTGGGAAGCCTTGAGAAACCTCTCACCAATTCCCTGGTGAATACAGATCCAAACTCCTTGGATCTTAAACAAGGAGAAATTGACCCTTCCCCCCTCCTTCCTTTCACCAACTCCTGGTGAATATAGATCCAAACCCCCTTGGATCTTAAAGCAAGGAGAAAATCAATCAGGTTCTTAAAAAGAAGGCTTTTAATTAAAGAAAAAGGTAAAAATCATCTCTGTAAAATCAGTATGGAAAATAACTTTACAGGGTAATCAAACTTAAAGAGCTCAGAGGACCCCCCTCTGTCTTAGGTTCAGAGTACAGCAAACAAAGATAAACACTCTGGTAACAGGTACATTTACAAGTTGAGAAAACAAAGTAAAACTAAGACACCTTGCCTAGCTTTTTTACTTAC